TTCGGGATATAGCATCGAAGGAAGTTATTTTTGGCAAATGATGTTTGTTGATGAAAGTGATCAAATATAGAGGGAAATGGTGCAAAGTGTAGGGTTGGAACTACCTAGTCAAAGTCCTTGAGAATACAAGGGATGGAATCCAGTGTGCAAACTGAGGCATTAGCTTTACAGAGAAGTACAAAGAGTTCATCTTTTTTAATGGGAAGGAAGGGACAGAATGTGGGTACAGATTCAGGTGGGTTGGTAGGTTTGATAATGAAAAGAGGAAATTTTCTTCAGACTGCTTCTGTTTTCTCAGTGAAATAAGAAGCTGAGATTTAAGAGCTAAAGAGGCAGGGAAACTGGAGGTTTGAGAAGATAGGAGAAGGACTGTTAAGGAAAGTGGGAGGCTGAAGGTACTGGGAAGATATAATGGGCTTATCAGATAGTCCTGAGGACCCACCTGAAGTTCTTGGTTTTTAATCTAAATTAAGACCAGTCAGCATGGTTGTGTTTTTCTCCAGCCACATTCAGATGCTTGAGTCCAAGTGAAAAATAGGCAGAAATAAAAAAAACAAAAAACAAAAAGACAAAACACAACTAGATTTTCTTTTCCATATGAATATGACTGAGGGGCAGGTGAGGAGGTTGAAGCTATATGCTAGGAAGCAACCATAATGGAACGTGGACTCCATGCTGCATGAGGACGGAGGCAAGGGCTTGACAGTGTTGGGGTTGGGGGTGGTGGTGTTAAAAGTTAATGAAAAAGTAAGGCCAGTGTATTTGAGGATGTAATCAGGTCCTAGAATTGTTGGCGAGTGAGTAAAGAAGAAATGGTGGTCAGAGAATAAGATGCTGGAAATAGAGATTTTGGAGTTATTGCTAATGATAAGGTGTTTCTAAATGGGGGCATTTTGGTATTTCACTGCTTGGGACTGTCTCTCACCATGCAGGATGTTTAGCATCCCTGGTTCATGGGCATTAAATGCCAGTAGCATCTCCCAGTCAGTGTGACAACCAAAAGCACCTATACACATTTCTAAATGCTCCCTAAGGTTGCTGGTACTTTCCTTTACGGAGAAACTCGGATTAGTTATGGGACTAATGATTAAAATTGAAGATGCCAAAGAATTAAGACAAGAAGCCAAGGTATTGAATGGTCTACATCAATATAAAGTCACCAAAAATCCTAACAAAATTATGTTGGAAAGAAAGACAGTGAGCCAGGTGCTAAGCTGTGACTAATATTCTACAATGAGGTACAAATAGATTTGGGTGAGTGATTATATTTTCTAGTGGACTCTTCAACCTATTTCAATTATTTCAGCATCTTATGCATCCCAAAGAAATTTCTAAATAGGGGTGAATAATACAGGGATTCCAGGATCTACCTCCACATTAAAAAGAGGTACCTAAATGAGGTAGAATCAGCCAACCTTAGGGAGCCTATATAGTGAACAGCATTGTTACTAAATGATGTACCCATATACTTTCATTTAAATGGCTTTATCATTAGAAAATGTTATATTATTTGGTTAAAATATATCTCATAATGCTTGAATACTCCTTTTCCAAATTACCTTTCAGCTATATAGTAGAGCCTCCATTGCACTCAGTTCATTGAAATGTTTTACCTTCCACCCAAGCATTCAAGTTAACTCTTTGTTTTTTATATGATCACATCTGCCTTGTGTTGAGACTCAGGTTTACTTTAATCTTTTTTAAAAACAAATCATCCTGTTTTCAACTATGGGTGCTACTTTCATCTACTCTTAACTATCCATTACAAAACTACCTTCTTTCCACAGTTCAAAATCTGCTCAGTTCCTTTCTAAGAAACCCTAAAGCCCCCAAACTGGGCAAAACTCTGTAATTACTAAACTGTTGAAAAATATTAGAAGCTTTGAAAGTGGCACTCTAGTTGCATCAGCTGAATAATGGTCCTTGGCTAACCCTTATTTTCAAGGTAAGCAAAAATACTGTATGGAGCAAAGGAGCAGTCTACAAATGTTAACTGAATTTCCAGAAATCTGCCTGTCTTCTTGCAATTCTTAGAGTGTTGGGCATGAATTCTCTCAATGTTAAGGGCATTCACAAAATAAGAATACTTGAACATACATCTCAAAGTCACTCTACTTTTCAATTACAGTATCTCCAGTTTATTGTAAATACCTAGCAATAGTGTTAGCTAACACAGACAAAAACTCATTGGTAAAGATTGGAAAATCTGATCTAGTAAAACTGGCATATAACAGCTTACTATCTTTCTCCCACCCAGTGAAAGCTGTGAGAGCCGGAACTGACAAGACTGCCTTGTTTTTCCAGGTCTTGCAAGTTTTACAGGGTGTAGCCATCATTTTCCTTTTTCTTTTTTAATATTTTATTGTGCCTTTGGTGAAAGTTTACACAGGACATTAGGTTTTCATTTAACAATTTCTATACATGTTGTTCAGTGACAATGGTTACCTTTTTCACAATATATCAGCATTTTCATTATTTTCCTTCTGGTTGTTCTGTTTCCATTAATCTAGTCTCCCTGTTCCCCCTTGCCTTCTCATCTTGGTCTAGTGTAAATGTTTTCTATATGCAGTCATCACTTTTCTATCACTATTTAGTGGAAAATATTTGAGTTTTCCTTCTCTGACAGGCTTCTGCCTTACACAGGTTCTGGCTTTCACAGGTTTCACTGTATATATGAAAATAAAATTAAAATGCTCCACAAATGTTTTCATTAAAGAAGTAAGAAATTTATAGGCTCAAAATATCTTACTAAATCTTACCAAAGCAATACTACTGATAATGAAACCATTTAAACTTTCAGCTAAATGTTGTCCTTTAGCTGGTATTTATTTCAGAGCTAACAAAAACCTTTGTGAAGATAGAGCTTGGCATATGACTCTCATATACAAGCGCATTAACAAGCCAGTATCGGAGCTGAGTCAAACTCAGCAAATACTTCTAGAAATTTCCCTTGTGTGATTTATTCAGTTATTAGGAGAATTCAAAGCCTCAGCTCTGCCACGTATATCCAGTCCAGATGCTCAAAGCACTTGATTTTACCCCAGGGCAAAATTCCATATTCAAGACTAGATCTAGAACAGATGGCCACTCCACCTCTTCTATAATCTGGTGGTACCCTATGAATAAATGAAGAGACTAAAGGGAACACAGATTCCACAATAGGGCCAGAACAAACATTATTACTGTTAATACTACTAATAATATTTATTAAGTACTTTTGTGTACATGATTACTACTAATAATATTTATTAAGTACTTTTGTGTACATGATACTCTAATAAGCTCTGCACAGAATGTGTCCTGGTGATCATAATGTTCGATGTAGAAACTATGCATGGTTCCTTTAACTATGCTCGTTAAGGAATGTGCGTAGTTCTGGCCTTCACAGAGTTTTCAATCTGAGTCGTGACATGTCCACGACCCTTCTTAAAGCAGATATGAAATCAATTGCTCAAGAATATAAGGAGCCCTATTATGTGTGCCATTACTCTGGGGATAATGCTTGACAATATTCCTATCCTCAAGTTGGCTATAATCTATAGTTGAAACAACAAAAATTCAAGTTTACAATTCTGTGTGAATTCGTGTGGCACACAGAATAAACGTGCACCATGCGACTCCTATTAACAGTAAGAACTGACGCTTAGGTAGCACTTCTGGTATACTGGGCACTGTTCTGAGCTTTATCTCTTTGACTTTTTTAAATCCTCACCTCAGGTAGGTTCCATCATTCTATACTCATTCTTTAGGCACAGAAAGATTAAGTAATTTGCCTGAGATCACACAGCTAGTAAGTGGCAGAGTTGGGCTCTCTGCTCTTCACCTCAGAGTTAGAGGAAGGATTCATGAAAGGGAAAGGCACTGAGCTAAATCTGAAGAAGAGAGTAAAGAGAGGAGGGCATTTCAAGTGAGAAAGAGACCTTGAGCAAAGGCAAGAATGAGCACAGTATGGGTGGAAAGTTGGAAAGCAGCGAGAAAGAAGATTAGATTTAAGCAGAATAGGGTTTGGTTATGGAAAGTGTTAAATACCAAGTGGAAGCTTAGATCTAATGGCAGTAGGATTTAGGAAGTTACCAATGATATGTTGCCACAGACAGTGGCTCCTGAGCATTCCCATCTAGTCATAGGGCCATATATGCAAGGGATAGACAGATGAAGATCTTGCATTGCTGACATCGAAACATTGAGTCTTTGCCAATGTTGCTTGTTTTGGCATTAATTCACTGATGACCCTTTCTTAGAAAAATGGATTAAGCAGTAAAAATGGTGTCAACTCACAGTGAGATTAATAGGGGTGGAGCCAGTCACCAAATTTCTGAATCTCAGAATCTGGTATCTCTGAATCTAATGCCTTGCCTCTGCAAATTCTCCAGAGGGGGTAAGGGAGAAATATTGCCCAACTGTATAGGGTAGGAGTACAGTTCAGGAATTTAGTAAACTATCTGTTTTAGCCCCATATCTGCCCCTTCACCCCTCATTCTCAGTTTTGCTGGTTCTGTATGCAGTCAATCCCTGAACCTTTCTGGGGCTTTCCAGTAGTCAGATACCTTCTAGATGGTACACCTGCTACAGATGCTTTGGTTTTTCTTCCCTTTGTTCTGTTAAGTCATTTACCATTCTTCTATCCTTTCTCTGTCTCGTTAATTTTTGGATTGGGGTTCAGATGTCTCCTAGCTTCATTCAACATGGAGCAAGTTTCTTTTTCAAAAGAAAGGTAGGGTGGAAACGACAATTCTTTCATCTTAAAACCTGTCTTGATTACTACAATTTGATTAAGAAAGGAATATTATCAGTAGACTGGCAAATTTTAAAAGCAAACTATAAGACTAGATCTCTTATAGAGAAATTTTAAGCATTGTGGCAAGGAAGGAAGGAAAAGGTGCTTGTGGGTTGGGAAAGCAGAAAGAACCTGCAAAGTATTCCTCAAATCATCTGAAGTAGGCTACTGCCTACTCTGCCTAAAGAGAAGTACTAGTTAGTAAACAGCAAATAATTCAAACCTTCACAAATATGGTGAATTCTTCCACTTTCTCATTGGCTACCAGCAATTTCTTCTGTGCACCTTCTAGGACCTGCTCGCTTTGCAATGCTAATCCTTGAAGCTGCTTAGACGCTGCCGTTTCAATTTCTGCCATTGCAGATTCAGTCTCATTTACTTTCGATACTAGGAGAGTAAGCTTGAGATCCTGCAAAAGGTCAGTAATCATATAAAAAAAATTATTAAAAATATTTCATAAACAGAGTTGAAAGAGTTATGCATGTAAAGATGAGGAAAAGGGTTGTATTATTCCTTTA